CCCGTTCCAGACCTTGGCCACTCTAACTGTGAAGAAGTTCTTCCTAATGTCCAGTCTAAATCTGCTCTCTGCTAGCTTGTGGCCATTATTTCTTGTACCCCCAGGGGCGCCTTGGTGAATAAATACTCACCAATTCCCTTCTGTGCCCCCGTGATGAACTTATAGGCAGCCACAAGGTCGTCTCTCAACCTTCTCTTGCGGAGGCTGAAAAGGTCCAGGTTCTCTAGTCTCTCTTCGTTGGGCTTGGCCTGCAAGGCCTTAACCATATGAGTGGCCCTTCTCTGGACCCTCTCCAGGTTATCCGCATCCTTCTTGAAGTGCGGTGCCCAGAATTGCACGCAGTACTCCAACTGCGGTCTGACCAGCGCCCGATAGAGGGGAAGTATCACCTCTTTGGATCTATTCGTCATGCATCTGCTGATGCACGATAAAGTGCCGTTAGCTTTTCTGATGGCTTCGTCACACTGCCGACTCATGTTCATCTTGGGAGTCCACTAGGACTCCAAGATCCCTTTTTAAGTAATGTAAAGGAGAAAAAGAGCTCCTGGAAGGGGTGAAAAAAATACCCATCTCTGCTGAAGAAAAAAAATGGGAGTGCACATGCTCCATCACCAAATCAAGGTCCAGCCCACCTGCTCAAAGTACATGGATGGTTCACTATTAATCATTTCAGCAGATATATTTAACACCGAGATCAAAAGACAGTTTAACAAATTAACATTACCCTCTCACTGAGATGAATTAGGCACCTTACTACTTTAAGCTATCGCAGGCTGCATGTAGACGTAGGCAGACCACCTTACTGTCACACTTGAAAAGCTGTCTTCACAAATAAGGAACAGAAACTGCCTTTTAGGAACTTAAGAGTTTACAAAAGCCGATGAGGCCACAGTGTGCCACATGACCGCTCCTAACTTGGGGCTCAACTTCTGATCTCTACACTCTTTGCAGATGAATTGGTTTATACATAACTCTTGATCTTTCACAACTAATTCTATCCTGAGAGACTGCCTCAGAGTCAGGGAGATTATATTTCTCCCCCTCCCCAATAGGGATTTAATGTTTCTGTTGCATTTCAGCACACAACTTGATAGAACCTACTTAAGGAGGCCAGGGAAGACTCCCTCCCCATCTGTAATGCACCTTGTTGCCTTTGGCCTTTAAGACACTTATTCCTGAGTGAAAGCAAAGGAATGTGATTCCCTTGCCCTACTTTTCATTGTGTTAAAGGATTACATTATGCCAGCTGTCACAAAACATGTTTTTCTAGCATATGTCACTTAATCTCAGCTCCTTGGAAAAAGACTTAAAGCCAATGTATGAGACGGGAACACTGACTCCACCACTGTTCTCCTTACACATTAAAAGCGTTTCCTTGAAATGATCAGCCTTGCCTAGAGGTGCTGACTGTTGGAATTCAGATGAGTGCATATATTTCATAAAAAAGGCTCTTAAAAGGACACCAACACGTATGCACAAGTCAATACAACATGATGCAACCTGCACTAGCAAAGTGAAGGCCCAGAAGACTACATGCTCATAGAAAACTTGGTTTCATGTTTCACATGGTTAGTTTGTTTCTCAGCAAAATGGAATCTGAAGAGAAAGTGTTTAACGGGGAAGTAGTTAACCTCAGACAAAGGAGCAAAAATGTGGTGTTTCAATAGGAAAATTGAATCCACTTGCTCTGAACACATCTGCCTAAATACTGACAAACAAAGGTGGCTCTAAGAGAGGTCTTTAGTCACAAATAGTCCAACCCACGAGCCAGGCAAGTGTTAAGCTAATATGCCACTTCTTCGTATTCACCATTTGGGAAGAAAGATGTTGTTAGCACATTTCAGGGTCTTAGAGAGATGGAAACCACAGCAAAAGAGTTGGAGGAAGGTAGCACTCTGACCTGATGATGAAAGCTCCCCTTGTCTCCAGTAGTTTCCTCTCACTGCTAAATCTCTTGAGCAGATTGATCATGAATTTGTAGAAGTAGGAGTTCATGGTGGGTGTGGAAGGAGAACACTCCACGCCTTTAGTACCTACAAGGTGGGAAGAAAAGGAGAAAAACAGTTACACAAATGCTACCTGCCTAAATTGGAATTTTGTATACATATCATACATCAAGTCTTACAGAATTAGCCCGTCAGGGTGGGGAAGGGACAGTGGCAGTCTGAGCAAGGTAGGATATTTTAAAGGTATGATCTAATGCAGTAATCCTCAACCAGAGTGCCATGGCACCCTGGGGTGCTGCCAGGTCCTTTAATAGGTGCCTGGGAGGTATGGGGAGATAAGCAGATAAGTGCAGGCTCAGGCGTGCCCCTGCCTGGCTGATCCCCCACTTCCACAGCACATCCCCTCTGCAAGGAGGCAAGCACTGGGATATATTAATTAGCTTTTGAAATTGGGTGCCACTCAATTCATAAGAGATATGGAGGGGTGCCTTGAGTCCAGAAAGGTTGAGAGCCACTGAGGAATTAAGACAAGGTAGGCAGCTATGGCTAGAATCACCATAAGAAGAGCAGAGGGAGGTGGCTAGAACAGAAGACACTTGTTCAAAAAGCCCCTCCCACTTCATCCCTTAGTCCACTGGGCCTCTCGTAATTCACCACTGTGGAAGGGAATGGAAAGAACGAGCATTAACTGGTTTGTTCAATAGTAACAGCAGGGGAAAAAAATCCAAGGTCCCAGTTCCACCCCTTAAATCATCAACTCCACATTCTTTAAAACAAAGAACAGAACAAAAACATGTTGGATTAAAAATTAAAGCTACTTGACACAACATCCTAAATTTAAAAATTCCAATATTCCATGTTTCAACATATGCAAGTGTATATATGCACATGCAAAGTTTTGCCTCCCTGTATGGCTGACGCTCATGCATAATCTCCTTGTTTCCTCAACAGGCCTAATTTCATTTGACAGCACCAATACTAGTACTAGTACTTAAGAATAGATTTATACAGTCAAGAGGCTGCAGAGATCCTGAGTGGTCAGACTTTTTTTTGTAAACTAATTTTTATAGCATCAGCTTTCAAATACACCTTATGTAGGACCCTAAAGGGACAGAATGGAAAATACAAGGTGAGTAGTGAGAAACTGATGGATTTTGAGCTGCTGATTGTAATTCTTGGGAGACTGCACCTTGAGCAGGTTACCACGTTACTTAGTGAATTAACACAATATGCGAATTTGCACAACCTCAGGACTAGGGTGGCCACTGCCGCATCCTCAGCCAAATTGGCAGCAAGGCACCATAAAAAGGTTCCCTCCTTCCCTCTTTGGCTGGCTTGGAACCTGCTCCTTCTGGCTGTGCACCACCCTACATCTAGGCACAGCCAACAGAATCTCAAGGATAAATGACTGACACGCATTTTCACCAATGAACTAAAAAACAGGACTTTTTGCTGTCCGTTCCTAATTTTAGAAATGGACAGGGGACAAAGTATAAAAGCTGAACAGTCCAGTATAAAACAGGACCAATGGCTACCCTAATCAGTATTGTCAGGAAGTGCACCCAGAAAAAAATAAGAGGGGCCTGATATTCACCTGCTTTGCCCTTAACGCCTTGCTGAGCCAACTGAACTGGGTTGGCCAGGATCAGGTACAAAGGACTTGAACTGGATTAAAAAGTAACTCTTCAGTCTCTTTGGGGCACAAAGGTGAACACATCAGAGGCTGCTGTATCTCCAATAAGTCAACCCTGCTTCTGGATTCTGCAAAGGCCCAGCAAGGCTTTTAGTAAGAATTCTGCATATAAACTGTTCTTAAAACCTTTTCTGCTAATTCCTTTTGTTAAGATTAAACAGTACTTTTTTTTAAAACTGGCCCTTTGGAGTCACTATCCATCACTGAAGTGAAGAAGTGCAGGTACCAAGTCCAGTCAAACCTGTTAGGTAAACCCATTGGAGACAAAGGTTGCTGTAGTCCGGGGACTTGTTTAACAGAGGAATGTTAGGATTCCACTCCAGGAAAGTAAAAGACCCCAAGGCAAAACACAGGGGGGTGCACTCAGATGCCAGGAAGAAGAGAGAGGCAGCACCCTGGAACCATGATAATGTCAGTAGAAAGTCCAGGTTTGTCATGAGCTGTGAATACAGTAAGACGTTAGTGTCCATCTCCTTCAAAGAGCTCCAACTTATCTTCCAAACTCACTAGGCTCATTCACATTTTCTTTTTGGGACTACTGCTTCTTCACTCTGCTCTCACCAAAGAAAGGAGAAGGACAGAATAGGGCTGAAGGACTGTTGCCAAAGAAGCTAATAGCACAGTAACCTCCTACTGAGAAAGAAGATACCCTTTGTTCCGCCAATTCTGGCCCTGTACATTCTCCTCCAGGAAGCGTTTCATGCCACCACAGAACAGCCTGAGGCTTTGCACTGGTGAACACAGTTCAAGTAGCAGCTCCTGATGATTGCAAAATATAACTGCTCACAGGAGAGAATTCTGTTGGGCTTGAATGCTGACTCACATGACACCTTACTAAGGAGTTTTCCACATTCTTCTTTCAAGGGAACATGTTTAGAGACCAGTGAGGTTTCAGGGAAATTTGTATCAGAGGGTGTGGGGAGGGCAGGGAGGGTAAAGTAGGTAAGGCATTTTGTTACTGCTTTTGAAACAGGAGTTTGGGCCTTGCTCTAGGCTTGTGCTAAAGGTTGATCCAACTGTAAATGGTACTTGATCACTGAGTCTGAGGAATCAAAAGGTAGATGCAACACAAGCCACATCACACTCTTTGTGTACCACTGGCTATAGAAACTAGCCTGCCTTTACTATGCTAGCCCACAGGGCTGCTAGGCTCAGAGATACCATTAACCTTTAGGTATCAGAAAGGCACTTTCATTCAGTGGTCACTGGTTCATATTACAGGGTCAATGTAGAGGAAACATGGCCTTGTGGACAGAATACTCAGGAGACCTAAAGGCCTGTCTGTTGGGGAAACTGGTATGGAGTAAGTTAGGGTGTAACTGAGAAGTCCACTGGTTTCTCTGCACTACTCCCACATGATATTTGGTACACACTCTGCAGGTTTATGCAATGTAGGCAGACCCCACACACGCACTGTGCACAGCAAGTTAGGCCAAAGCAGCTAATGCACTGAAAATTTACATCCCAACTTCAATGTCTTCATCAGCGACTTGGACGAGGGAGTGAAGTGTACTCTGTCCAAGTTTGCGGATGACACAAAGCTATGGGGAGATGTGGACACACAGGAGGGCAGGGAACAACTACAAGCAGACCTGGATAGGTTGGACATATGGGCAGAAAACAACAGAATGCAATTCAACAAGGAGAAATGCAAAGTGCTGCACCTAGGGAGGAAAAATGTCCAGCATACCTACTGCCTAGGAAATGACCTGCTTGTTGGCATGGAAGCGGAAAGGGATCTTGGAGTCCTAGTGGACTCCAAGATGAACATGAGTCGGCAGTGTGATGAAGTCATCAGGAAAGCTAATGGCACCTTATCGTGCATCAGCAGATGTATGACGAACAGATCCAAAGAGGTGATACTTCCCCTCTATTGGGCGCTGGTCAGACCGCAGCTGGAGTACTGCGTGCAATTCTGGGCGCCGCACTTCAAGAAGGATGTGGATAACCTGGAGAGGGTCCAGAGAAGGGCCACTCGTATGGTTAAGGGCTTGCAGGCCAAGCCCTATGAGGAG